AGGACACAGACAACCTGGTTGCCTCCCTGTCACAGTACAAAATAAAGTGCTGTCATTGTTTTCGATAGGCAGCAACTCTCTCTTCCTCTTCACACATAAAGTGGGAAGTCTTGTTCTTACTTCCATTTCCCAGATTGGGAAAAGGGGTGCAGAGAAGGCAGTGCCTTCCACTTTGCTGAAAGAAGCCAGAGCCAAGATCTGAACCCAGTGCCCTAACCCTGCTCTTTCCTCGTGGGGCTGCCTTGGCATCTCTAGGTCACCATATCCAGCTTGTTGGGGCTCCCATCCCAGGCGGATCCATGGCTGTCTTCGCTGGCATGAAGGAGGCCTTGGGAAAGGCTCCAGTGGTCACATGAGGCCTGGAGGGGGTGACTGAGACTGAATCGGATCCCTTCTCTGGGGGATAGGAACCTGAGATGCCCAGAGAGCCGGATGTGATGCCTGACCAAGATGACATCCCAGCCACCTGCCCTCGGAGCGTCAGCTGGCACAGACAGACAATGCCCTCAGCCTGGCCCTGTGCTGAGTACTCTTAGTACAAATACAGGCAGGGTGGGTGGGAGATAATTACCCCACCCTCAGAGGTAACTCAGAGGCTGTAGGTGGCACAGACTGGCTTCAAATCTTGGCTCTGTCATTTACCAGCTGGGTGACCAAATAAGTTACTTAATTCCTCTGAGTCTTTGTTTCTTCATCTGTAAAAGGCATAGATAACAGTCCCAACCCAACAGGGTGCTATGAGGATGAAATAAGGTAATACAAGAAAAGCTCTTAGCACAGCCCCAGGCTCTGAGCTAAGCAGGGCTCAGTGAGCACTGGCTGAGGGGCCCCAAGCCCTCTGCAGATGGGGCCCTTCCCTCCCCTCTGCTCTGTGGTCTGGCTGCTCAGTGTGTGTGTGGGGGGGTGGCGTGTGGGGGGGGGGAGACACCAGCACACACACACACACACATATACATACGTTACATAAGCATTCTATAGAACTACATAGTAACTCTAGCCATGTTTATCCAGGGGTGGGATTATGGGGAGACGTTAACTTTTACTTATATAGCTCTGCTTCTATGTTAATTTTATAACCTGAATAAATGAAGATATTTAACAATTATTGTGTGCCTACTGTACCAGGCACAGAACTAGGTACTTTTGATAAAAAGTATCCCTTACCCTTATGACATCCTTCCAGAATGTCATATTATCCCCATGTTACAGACGAGCATGTGGAGGCTTAGAGAAGTGACTTGACCAAGGACATGCAGCATGCTGGGATCTGACTCCTATATTGGAATCTGTAGTACAAAGCCATTCTGCTTGGCAGGTCAGGGAAAGCTTCACAGAGGAGGTGATATTTGAGCTGAATTTTTTTTTAAAGATGACCGGTAAGGGGATCTTAACCCTTGACTTGGTGTTGTCAGCACCACGCTCTCCCAAGTGAGCTAACCGGCCACCCCTATATAGGGATCGGAACCCATAGCCTTGGTGTTATCAGCACTGCACTCTCCCAAGTGAGCCATGGGCTAGCCCTTGAGCTGAATTTTGAAAACCAAGTGGGACTTCTCTGGGTCAGCATTCTCAGTCAGGGGTGATTTCAACCCCAGGAGACATTCACCAAGGTTTGGAGACATTTTGGGTTGTCACAATCTGGCGGGGCAGGGGGGCGTTGCTACTGGCATCTAGTGGGTAGAGGCTAGGAACACTGCTAAACTTTCTATGATGCACAGGATAGCTCTGCACAACAAAAAATCATCTGGCCCCAAATGTCAACAATGCCGAGTATGATGTATCATACTGTAGCTGACATTTATTGAGTGATTCCATGTGCCAAGTGCAGTGCTAAGTTCTCATGAACATCATCTTACTTTACCTCTACTTCCATGCTGTCATTGAAGGACCCAAGGCTCAGAGATGATAAGCAAGTTTCCCAAGGTCACACAGCTAGTAAATGGTAGAGCCAGGATTAGAGCTGCCTGAGTACAAAGCCAGAGTTCTTAATCTTTCCACTCTGCTGCCTTTAGGATTTATAATAAATGTAAAAGCTCCAGGCCAACTACTAGATAGGGTGTCAGGAGACACTCTGCACTCTGGCTGAGTGCAGGCCTGGCCTCCTTTGGCTGTGAGGCCTTGGGCAAGTCCTCCCCTTCCCCTGCCATTTCCCGTTGGTCAAGTGAATGTTGCACCAGATGATTTCCAAGGCTCTGCCAGCTCTGAGTCTGCAATTCTCCAGGAGAAGGACCCGAGCTCAGGTTCCAGCATCCACCAGCTGGTGTGAAGGGTGGGCTCAGCCTCATTTCCAGGACAAAAGTGGCTAATGAGCCCTGCTTTCCCACAGGAGGGAGAGGCAGGTGGGGGTGGAGGATGGCTTCAACCTTACCCAGGAGCATGCCCTCTCCAGGGAGGAGGCAGGTTTCTCTGGCACCACCTTGCCTCACCCAAAGGAGACACCAAAGCAAGACGTTCTTCTGAGGCAAGAGAGGTGGGTCTGGACATTCACTCAGCTGGGCACAAGAGCTCTCACAGGTAGGAGGAGAAAGAATGGGAATGCATGTTGTTCTAGCCTCTCCCACGAGCCAGGCACCTCAAATAGCAGGTTCATCCCAGGTCGGCCTTACAAAAGTCCCGGTAGGAAGAAACCATCCTGATCCCATTTTATAGACCGAGCATCACAGTTTATGTGAAACGACTCACCAAGTTACGCAGACAGTGACCAAGGCAGGTTTGGAACCCAAGTGTGTCTGACCCTAGGACAGTGCTCTAGAGAGTACGTGAGTGGGAGTCCTGCTTCTCTTTTCACACCAAAATAAAAGTGTTTCAATAATGTTTGGAGAAAATATATGCTCAATTTCTCCTGCACTCCCCAGGTCATGGAATGGAGTGCAAAAGCCCAAAACACAGTAATTCAGATTGACTGGTTTGCAGACAGGAGAACCAAGGCTCTGATGCAGAGGCTAGAATGCCAGTCAGGGAGGAAAGACGGTGAGCAGCATGGCTCACGCTGTGCCCTCTAGTCCTGATTCTCTCTCACCATCTGGCAGTGTGGCCTTGGGTAAGTCACATCACCTCTCCAGTGCCCAGTTTCCACATCTATACAATGAAGAGGCTGGACAGATGGTTTCAGGCAGAGTCCCTTTAAACTCTCAAAACCTACACCCAGTCCTGTCAAAGGTTCTCTCCTCCTACCTGTTCATTTGGCTTCACAGATGGGGAGATGGAGACAACAGTACCTAGCACAAAGGGCGCTGGGGATGGAGGGTCAATGCCAGCCTTGTGCAACCTCCCAGAGTCCCTGACCCTTGCTCACCCTCTGATGTGGCCTCCATCCTCAGACAGGTAGACTGGAAGGGGTCAGTTGTGGTTTTGGAATGAAAGGGACAGGGAGGGGGCAATGGTGAACATGGGCCATTTCTCCTGAGGCCAAGACTCATCCATGGGCATCTGCTGGGAGCAGGCTGGCTCCCGGAGGCTCATGTATGGAGGGGTTGGGACTCCCTACAATATAGGGGAAAGTAGTTATTTGGCTCCAGCTTTCATATCTCCAGGGCCAGAGAGTTCACTATGTCCCAACTTAGACCACTATATTTTCATAAAATGTTTGAGCCCCAAACCTACTGCTTATAACTGCTCCACAGTCTGGGCCAGCTTAGGCCAGAGTTTGTGATGCATTCATTTATTCATTCAACCTTGGTATGTGCTTTGGGCCAGGCCTTGTGTAAGGCTCTGGGACCATAGATATGAGGAATTAAGAGACTGTCCCTGGCCTTGGGGAACTGTGTGCTAGACTATTATCCCAAGGCCAGGAACATGGGGCTGCTGGATCTAAATGGTTTAGTTTGAAAAAAGGATTCCAGGCTCAAATAAGCTTGGGAACCATTTCATTAAACACAGTAAGATGGATTTCTTTTCTATAAGATTTCTCTAAGCCTTTAATATGCAAGTGCACACTGAGAATCCTTGGGGGAGGGGGGCTTAAAAGAAAATAGACTATATTTCCCAAATATGGCTAATCTTGGAACACTTGTTTTTAAAACATCAGACTTATTAATAGAGAGCATTTGGGGAAATGGAAAAATGCAGCTCTAATGCTATTTTTTTGGCCAGCGGAGCTTGGGGATAGTTTCACAGAGGACATTTGAGCAGGGTCTTGAGAGCTGAGTAGGAGTTTGTCAGTGAAGGTGGGAAGGTTTAAGGAAGACCAATTATAATCCAAGTATACTCAGGTTCCTCCACATGTACTGTTTCACTTAGTCTTTAAAGGTCCTGATGTGGGTGACAGAGCCAAGGAGTTTATCAAAAGCCCCTGGACCCCTACAGGTCTACCCTCCCTCCTTCTAGATCACCTCACATCCGGGCCATATTCTCCAAATTTTGAATCTTCAAGTCCTGGCTCCCCTCTCAACCTGGCTCCTACTCTGGTTTAAATCCAAAACGGTTGTATCTTGACTTGATCCCATACTTAACCCCTCATACACCTTGGCTTAACCCTTGGCACCCAAGCCTGCCTCGCAGCAGTTTGCTGACCCGAACATAGACTTCTCTCTTAGGTTAAAGCCTCATCTGCCCAGCACAATCTAGTCCGGATACTCCCCACTAGGTCCTGACACATACCTGATCCAGGACCCGCCCCTTAGACCCCGCTAGAGCTCAGCTGCTGGGTTTAGTACAGACCCATCCTCGCGGCCCCGCCCCCTGTCTGGCTCTGACAGTGGTCCTGCCCTTGCTCAGCTTTGATTCAGCTCCGTCCCCAACGCATCCTGAGCCCAGTACGTGGTCCAGTTGTGATCTCACTTGTCCCCACCGTCCCACCCCACCCTCGACCTCTCCCCAACCATGGACCAGCTCCTACTCCAGGTCTATCTCAGACCCCGCCCCCTAGCCCTGCCCAGCCCAGCCCTGCCCCGTGTTAATTCTGATAGGGCCCTGCCCCGGCCTGCGGCCCCGCCCCGTGACAATTCCTACTGGGCTCCGCCCACGGCCCGGCCCCGCCCCCGGCCGGCCGGGCAGCGCACCTGCAACTCCTCGAAGGCGTCGTCAATGCCGGTGACCTGATGCTGCTCGTGCAGCGCGGGCTCATCGCAGAAGAAGCAGAGCAGCGCGCGGTCAGTGAGGCAGAAGAGCTTGACCTTGTCGTGCGCCTGGCAGGGTCGCGCGGCGCGGCGCGCGTTGAGGATGGCGTCCAGCGGGAAGGCGCTGTAGCGCTCCACGATGTTGGCCAGCTTGAGGCTGGGCGCCAGCGCGGGCTCGGCGAACGTGCGCCGGCACTCGGGGCAGTCGCGGGCGCCCTGCGCCTCCTGCCGCACCCAGTGTTCGGTGATGCAGCGGCGGCAGAAGTAGTGCTCGCAGCCCAGGCTCACCGGGTCCTGGTAGATGCTCAGACAGATGGAGCACAGCAGCTCGTCCTTGAGGCTGCACGCCATGGCGCCGGCGAGGGGGGCCCGACAGGCAGCGGGGCGGCTGAGAGGGCGCGGCGCTGTCGGGGGCAGCACCGAGGAGTGGGTGCCGGGATGAGGCCCGCAGGGGCAGAGGCTACCGAAGAAAGAAGGGGGTGCTGCCCAGGAGGGGGGTAACGCGAAGAAGGGGCGTAGGGTAGATATTACCCGGGATGCGAGCCCGGGAGGGCGGTCTTGGGGAAGTGGGTAACCCAAAGCGCTGGGTGCTGGAGGGAGGGGGCCGTGGGAGTCTGAGGGAAGGGGCTTCTGGCGAGGGGGTTCTAGGGGACGAGACAGTCCGAAGGAACGGGTGCTGGGAGAAGGGGATCCCGGAGGGGGGCGGAGGCCTTGCAGGGGATGAAATCCCGGGACAGGGGCTGTGGGGGGAGGGAGAGAAGCTGGGGATGGGGAATTCTGGGGGAGAGGGAAGCCGGGCTGAGCGGCACCGCGGATGTGCCCGGCAGGGGAGAAGCAGGGTGCCGGCGGG